CTCACTACAAATTCAAAGTCACTCATTTTGGGGGTGGACATTATAACCAATCGCATTTGTGCCTATTTTGCTGACCACGTCGGCTCAAACGACCACAAGCTCCGTGTCTCGTTGGACGAACTTCTGATTATTATTAAGGATGATATCTTTTTCAAAATTTCCAACATGTTTTCTGATTTTCCAACCAAATTTAATGTGGGTGGGATTGAAATCTCATTGTACAAAGCCAAACACGGGGGAAAGAGCATAATGTTGCAACGCATTGGCGACCCTTTTTCAAATTTCTTTTTTGCTTTAACATCGTGGCGCAAATTTGGAGAAGCGCGAGCACTCATTAAAATGCACATCGACACTCTGAGTCAAAGCAAAACTTACATTGCACACTTTTTAAACCAATTTGTGAATGAAGCATCACAAGAAATTGCCAAATCCACTCAATACACTGAGCTCGTCAAAATGGATGAGGCCGTTCAGATTCAACACATGCGAGAGGCCATGTCAAACACATCGTCACACATTGTGAACATTTATGCTCAAGATTTTAATTTGATGTCATCGTGTGACGTTCCGTCACTCAGAGAAGAGCTGATCATTTATCATTTTTCATTCATGAAGGAAAAGATTTTTGAAAAACTCAAAGAATGATTTAAAATGTGTATTGCTTAAATATGAATACTGTACTTCTCTTGTTGCCTTTAACTTGTATGCTTTTAGAATTAAAATTCTGTCAATAAATATATTTTGATTTTTTGAAATGGCGTTCCTCTTTTCACCATAAAATTGATCCGGAAAAAAAAAGGCATTATGAAATAATGACCTACAAGAAATACACTGAAAAAAATTTTTTATTTTCAAGACAAAAACCTGCAAATTACAGTTTTGTTGGGGTTTTGAGTAGCCCCGTGCTACCGGGGCGACGCGGCGCCCCGTCCAGATGATATGGGGCATATCGCCTTGGTGGGGCCCTTGGCCTCGACGGGCCCCATACCCTGGTGCACGGCCCCTGTGAACACGCGAAACAAAGTACGATTTTACACACCATAAAACAACAACAAAAAAAAATGCAGTTGCTAAGTAAATTTCTTACCACCACCACTTGAATTTGCTGCGGGGCCGACTCCGCTGCCGCCTGCTGCGGGGCCGGCTCCGGTGCACTGGCGCCCCCCGGTGCTCGGGGCGTCCTTGACCGCGTGTGGTAGGCGGGCGAAGACGCCTCGGGTGTACGGGGGGAGCCCCGGGGCCTGGTGCGCGCGGCGCTCCGAGGAGATGGCGACGGAGTAGGCTCTAAGAATTTAAAAGAGAAAATGAAAAGCAATGAAAACAAATGCGTGTTTTAGCGAAATTGGAGGTGAATCGGTCGTCAATTTACCTGCGCTCATCTGAAGGCGGCGCCGCGCCGCCAAACGAGGGGACCTCCGGGGGGTTTCCTCAGAGGCCTTCTTCATCCCCCGCGGAGTGGTTTTCTGAAAAAATAATCAACGTTAGAGATACTCTTTCGCACAAAATCA